GGGGGGGGGGGGGGGGGGGGGGGGGGGGGGGGGGATTCCCAGCGCGTGCCCTTTCCGCGTGGGTACGTAGAGCAGTGGCTCCGAACTCCTACAAATGACCACCGTCTCCGGCTTCAAGGGAGGGCTGGCTTCTGCGCTAATCATGAGTCATTGCACGCTGCATGCCGTCAATTCATAACAGCGTACGCATATGTCACCATAAAGTCTATCACGGGTGGCAGCAGCAACAAGAAGAGCTACGCCACCCAACAGCACGTGCAGCAAGCGGATCCATCCATCCACCCATCCGCGCATCCGCCCGCCCCAATCTCCATTAAAACTACAGAAAAAAAGAGAAAATTACATCAAACAAACCTAGACGATGGCCCACCGCCGCCGCCGCCGCCGCCGCTGCGGCTGCCACTGAGAGTCGAGAGAATGGCCAAAAGACTGATACAGAACCTCGACAAACAACTAAGCATACAAAAACAAAAAAACGTTTCCGACCGAAAAAACAAAAAAAGCGTTTCGGCTCTTTCCAGTGCGTCGGTCCTTATCCTCCAAAGGCCTCACCCCGCTTGCTTTCATCCAACAGCCTCGTCCTGGTGCTTGACGTGGCCCCGTTTTTCTTCTCTCTGTCTCTCTCTCGCACGATATCGACCCCCGCCCAGCCAAGAGGAAGCACATGCACACCAGATCTCAGAAAAACAGACAACCAAGCACCCGACGATCACTCGTGAAACTGCTGTGCACGGCAATCCCCCGCCTGCCAAGTCAAAGGTACGAACAACAACCCAAATCAAACAAGTGCTCGACGATACGATGAAATCCCCACGCCGCGTAGTCGGCAATGTCGTGTGCCACCTGTGTGCACGGAGAGAGAGAGAGAGAGANCCCCCCCCCCCCCGCCCCCCCCGGCGGCCCGGCCGCTTTTCGCCACAACAAACTGATAGCTGGCATCAACTCCTCCCTCATGTATCCCGACTGCCGCGTTGTCAGGAATGAATCTGGAACGACGCGCGACAGAAAGGAGGTACGGACCACCCTTTCCGCTTCCACATCATGTCTCATCTTTCATCTTCTGGGACACGGCCTTTGGTAAGGCGGTGGTGAGGGTACCCATACACCAACACCAACACCAACACCGTCTACGCCTCCGGCCGTCCGGCCGTCCGGCCGGCAGCTGCAGCTTCAGCTAACAGGAGGGTCCACAAAATTAACTATCGCCATCATCACCACGGACGGGGAGAGGAAAATATTGCTGTGTTGTACTATGTCGCTCGCACGCCCCCAGATC